GGTCTTTTCATTCATAAGGCACATTGAGCACTATAAAAATATCTCTAAAGAATGTATTTGAAGTGCAAAAACTGTAACAATTTTGACAAAAAATGAGAGAGAGAGAGGGGGGGAAGTTGAGGAAAACCCCAAAAAATTGAAAAACTAAGAACACCCTGGGAACCATTCATTCGGACGTTATGCACATGTGCATACAAGTAATTGAATTTGTTTCTTGGTTTATATGCACGTGTGCATAACGGATAAATTGCTTACAAATTACTTTTACGCACATGTTGCATACTATACAAATGAACGGTTAGCAGAGTTTTCCTYAGTTTTTCATTKTTTTGCGGTTTTCCCCTGAACCTGACTTTATATACATATAAACTTGTTTACRTAGGGGCATACTCAAATGAGAAGCTCAAAATTGTTGAGACCGTAAGAACTAGTGAATCATGTATTGTTTCACCTTGTGAAACAAAAAGTGAACGTAATCTTTTAGAAGTTGTACATTGTGAAACAAATATATGTAATTTTTTCCTAGAACAGTGTAACAAAGGTTCAGTTCTTCTAATTTTGTACCAAATTTATGGTTTTTATCCAATAAGCGGGTTTTCAGTTTATGTGATGTCAGTTGATTTTGATATGACAAYATAATTTGACAATCTGGCATCCATGTCATCAATAGTTACAWGATATATCTRTTTCTGGTCAAATTGAGTACGAAATAGGAAGAATTGAACTTYTGTTTTACACTAATCGAGAGAAAAAGTTCACAAATTTTGTYGCATTTTGATTTGTTTCAGGATGTAGGAAAATCGATCTTGGAGAGCTACTCAAGAGTATTGGAAAGCCTCGCGTTTAATATCACGGCACGTGTTGATGATTTATTGTACGTGGACGACTTGGCGAGACATTCCGACAAGTTCTCGTCAATCTCTAACCGTGACATCGTTTCCAAAACCGTTGTCGGGAAACCGTACACACTTCACACCGTCACCACTCCTTACAGAACGGCTTTCACCACACCGAGCCTCTCACCATCACGGCTCGATAGTYCTAATGGGCTCGGTCCAAAGAAAATCCTAACCGAGTATTTGAGTATTGATCTGAAAGGTAAACACTATGCGGGTCAAGTTTCGAGGTCAAACTCATTTTCGGGTAGGACCCGAGAGGCATTACAAAAGATYGGGCTTGCGGCCTCAAATGGGTCGGTCGGGGTCAATTGACGATCGGGACCCGATTCTATGTTTATACATGGATGAATGAATCTAKGGATTTGTTTAAAGAGTTAGTTAGRTATGGCATTTGTACATCRCGTTTTATTTKATTTCATTTTTTTTGTTATACTGAGTTCTRAGTCTTGCTGAGTTGACTCGGATCCTGGGAAGGACAGTTTAGTGAAGTTGTGTAAATAAATGCCTAATTTTGTTTTCAATACTYCATTCAAACCAATGTTAAATTTCCATCTTTAGTTGGTACAACTTTTTAAACAGAATTTTGATTGATGGCTGTTTATTACTGAGTGAGTATGATAAGGACCGTTAATCTTATCTGGTGGCAAGAGGTTTGACAAAGACCGAAAATCTTATCCTATATTACTTTATGGGTCCATTTTCGGTTTTGGGCCCGACTGTACTCAATGTTAATGGCCCAATGTATATAAA